TCTCGGGATGGGAATGGTGATACCATATGGCTTTGAGACAGTAGAATGGTTATTTCCAAGATAAAAACAGGTCCATCTTGGGTTAAGTCAGCCCTACAGTTGTCAGATAGTTATTGAATATACCAGTTTTAGCCTTATCCTTTAGCACAAAAGAGATAAATACACACAGCTGATACATGTCATCATCTGCAAATATTTCTGAGATGAAGACGCTGTTGAAGCCACAATATAAATGACATCTGTGCTTTCTGGAACTGTAGGATCACCGTTCTCATGATCCCCAGCTGGAGCTATCAGAGGCTATGCTAGGTGAGTATGCTGGTAGGGGTAGATTGGAAATATGTACTCTTTGGGCATGGGTGCCCACAGGGGGTCAAAAAGGTCAAGATGGCCACTCCCACTGTGCCCATCAAACTCCCACCCCCTTTTATTCCACATGTAAATAAGGACAGGGCTTTGGCTGGATGGCTGGGGGTGCCATTTTTACTTTTCCGACCCGCTGCAGACACCCATGCTTTGGGCAGTAATTTTTTTAAAAAGTGGATTACATTTGCAGGGGGCAAAGTCGAAATTGTTCTTCCCCCCCTCCCCGCCTGAAAAACATGAGACACAACTATGGCTCTGTGGCTTTTTAATATTTGAAAACTTTTATTTTTCTTTCAAATGAGCACCAACACATATTGTAAATCGGACAAACAATGCTCCCTTCCTTCTAATACTGAAGTATTATGTACAATATGCCAACACGTGACACGGTGAAGACAAATTAGGCCATTAAAAAAAACAGACAAGTAAACATTTATTACTGAAGCAAAATGAGACCTGAAGAGTTTGTCAAACAAATAAAATACCAATAAAATAAAACCAAGAATTTTTTTTAAATATTAAAGTATAAAGTATACACAGTTCTGTAAACACAATGATGTCCACATGATGGGCTGGTATTAGAAATATAGTCTCTTTATTTAGGGAAAGCATTAAGGTATCCATTGTACCTTACCAATAACATTATTCGCCTGCACAACCATGCAGAGTTTATTTATTTGAAGTTAAAACCGTTTATTTTCTCCCCTAATCTCTTTCCGGCTCTCTGTTTCTTAAAAAAAATATTTATTTTTAAAGTACAATTCCTGAAAGTTTACACAGGATTATTCCACTTCCCAAAACTGCAAAACAGATTGCTTTTAGACAGTCCCCATTTGGTAATAAACTCTACCAAAAATGGGCTGAGATTGATGGAGAGAACTGTGATTCATCCTCCATCAATGAAATGACGCTACGAAATGTATATTTAACATACAATTATCTCAGGCTGAAGACACACACCCAAAACAAAGCTTTGCGTGATCGCAAGAAAAAACGGATTTCATTTCAAAAAGGAGTGTGTGTGTGTGTGTGTGTGTGTGTGTGTCCCGCACAAAGTGTGAAGACCAGAGGGAGGGAGGGAGGGGAGTGTGTTCTCTTTATCACTAATTGCAACGTTTCCGCAAAGCACAATTCAATAGCTGGTGCTCTTGGTCCACTTAACGTTTTATCCAAAATCGGACGTTTTGGAAAGAAAAAAAAAATGTGTGTGTGTTGGGGGTGAGGGAAACAGAGATGGGTGCAAAGGTTTTACCACAATTTAGGGCTTGGGAAAAAGCCCTGCCACGGGGGATCGGAATAGGGGCACTGCAAACTTCTTCTCCTGGGTCTATTTCTGCCTTTTAAGCAACAGCTTGACCCCGCTGACATTTTACTGGTGCAAACTTTTAATCAGTTTACGTCTAGACACGCTATACTGGATGCCACCAGAAAGGAACAGGGTTGAGGGAACCAGAGTTAAAAGCAGAATCTACTTCTCTTCACCCCCAAATTTAAGACCCAGGACTACTAAATGCACATTTGGATCTGCTCCTGACGTGAAAGAAAAAGCAAAAAAATAAAAAAGCTAGAACAGTATACATATGGTTTGTGCCAATGCAGTTAGTGAGACAATTCGTGTTGCCTTGCTACAATGCCTGCGCGTGGAAAACCCGTTCGAGAAAACACAGTTCTGTTAAGCTGACACAGTTTTGCTTTGTAAACAGCTCCCAGGTATAAAACACAGCGGTCAGGATGACAAGACCCCTTCACAGCTTAGTGGATTTTTTCTACCCAACGGCGACAACCGTCGGGAGCACAAAACCCACCCTAGGCAAGGAAACAGGACGACAAACTCTTTGGTTTGGCTCAGGGAAAGGTTTTTTCGCAAGATACTGGGGGAGACCTGTTAAAAGTTGTGCTTATCCAGGGCAGGAAATTGAAAGGGCATCTCCTTTCCTCCAACCTGCATCGCGTTGCGGTAAAACTGAGAACGACAACAGTCACAATCAAATAAATAACAGTCGGTTGCGTTTGCCTGTAAATCAAGAGTTTTTACACTGGGAGCTGGAACACCTGAGAAAAATACTGGGGTGCTAAGAAAGTAATTCATTAAAGCTTCCCAGAGTCCCAACACGTCCATGGAAAGTGGTGTTTTTCAGACTTGGCCACTTTAAGATGAGTGGACTTCAACTCCCAGAATTCCCCAGCCAGCATGGCTGGCTGGGGAATACCAACACTTTTATCTCCTGTACCATATTATCATAGTATAATTCCCCAGCCAGCCATGCTGGCTGGGGAATTCTGGGAGTTGAAGTCCACACATCTTCAAGCCGCCAAGGTTGAGAAACGCTGTTTTAGACCACCAACACTTTTATCTCCTGTACCATATTATCATAGTATAATTCCCCAGCCAGCCATGCTGGCTGGGGAATTCTGGGAGTTGAAGTCCACACATCTTCAAGCCGCCAAGGTTGAGAAACGCTGTTTTAGACCACCAACACTTTTATCTCCTGTACCATATTATCATAGTATAATTCCCCAGCCAGCCATGCTGGCTGGGGAATTCTGGGAGTTGAAGTCCACACATCTTCAAGCCGCCAAGGTTGAGAAACGCTGTTTTAGACCACCAACACTTTTATCTCCTGTACCATATTATCATAGTATAATTCCCCAGCCAGCCATGCTGGCTGGGGAATTCTGGGAGTTGAAGTCCACACATCTTCAAGCCGCCAAGGTTGAGAAACGCTGTTTTAGACCACCAACACTTTTATCTCCTGTACCATATTATCATAGTATAATTCCCCAGCCAGCCATGCTGGCTGGGGAATTCTGGGAGTTGAAGTCCACACATCTTCAAGCCGCCAAGGTTGAGAAACGCTGTTTTAGACCACCAACACTTTTATCTCCTGTACCATATTATCATAGTATAATTCCCCAGCCAGCCATGCTGGCTGGGGAATTCTGGGAGTTGAAGTCCACACATCTTCAAGCCGCCAAGGTTGAGAAACGCTGTTTTAGACCACCAACACTTTTATCTCCTGTACCATATTATCATAGTATAATTCCCCAGCCAGCCATGCTGGCTGGGGAATTCTGGGAGTTGAAGTCCACACATCTTCAAGCCGCCAAGGTTGAGAAACGCTGTTTTAGACCAACACTTTTATCTCCTGTACCATATTATCATAGTATTGCTTCCATGTTCCTTTGCTGGCATTAATGTGGGCTAGAATATTTTTTAGGGCTCCTGTATTAGATACGTAAGATTTGCAGTAATATACTACAAGTAAGGGGTATCATCTAAGCCTTTCCTGGAGATAACTGTATTAGGGACAGTCTCTGCTGACTTGTATGGAAATCTTCCCTCCCCCTGCCATAAAAAATGTTATTTTCAGCATTGATCTCTACCTTCAAAAATGCAAATGACCCCATGTCGGCGAACTCGCTAATAAATTTTAAAAAGACAGCTTGGCCACCCAGTGTCCCATAAGACTTCTCATTAACCCTGACAGCTGTTCTATTTTCTTCACTCCCATTGTGCATTATTTAAAATCAGCTTGTCTGATTTCAGCATTAACTCTTTACAAGGTGACAAGCATATTCAGAAATGAGAGGCTGTTGAGCCATCACAATCAAAACACCCGAAAGCAAGCTCGTTACTTTCCTTTTCTTCCTTTTTTTTTTTAAAAAAAAAGCAGTAACAGCCTACAGAATGATCATTTTCTCAGAGCCATTCCCTCCCATCTAGCCTCCCATAAGAAACCGTTGCGTGATTTCTCATTAAATAATAGTTTGCAACAGATTCAGAAGGAACCATTGTGAGTCCAAAGAATAACACAGAAAAGGCTTGGCTGGATGGGGAGAGCATCCAACTTATTAATCTTTAAATTAAGGATCATTTACAATAACAGAAGCTCTCTGAAGATATTGCTTAGGGTATTATGCGAACATTATCATCATCTGATTGTGGATCTGAAATCTGGACAGATGTTGCAACACAGCAGAGGTAAAAAAAAAAAAAAAAAAGTCTGTGCGTACGGGAAACATAGTTTCCATCATCAGGACAATGGAGAAATGTCTACCTAACATCAAATGTTGTTATTCCACAACGCTCCCCTTCGATCTTCCCATTAAATATGGGAAAAGGGGCGTACTGCGGAACATATATACATACATATATATCCCCTTCCATACTGTAAACACTAGGGGGATAAGAGAGGACCACAAATGGGCAAATTCTTTGGTCATGATGTTAAGCCATTGGTTTAGAACGCCGCAGAGGTGTCTGTGGGGCTGGGTGGGTCAAAAAAGTCAAGATGGTGGCCACAACTGTGCAATCGAAGGCTGTGAAAAAGGGCGGAGCTTTGGCTGTGTGGTTGCAGCCGCCATTTTGACCCTTAGAATGCAGTATTATTATTCTGGTGCGGTCATGTGTCTAAAGAGAAAAAATGCATTCTGCAGCCCCAAAGAGAGGGAATGAAAAGCTCGTTTTGCAACTGCTATAAATGTGGGTTGCTTATATCATCTTCCTTCATGTAGGGCAGTTTCTCAAACTTGGCCACTTTAAGACATGTGGACTTCGACTCCCAGAATTCCCCAGCCAGCATGCTGGCTGGGGAATTCTGGGAGTCGAAGTCCACATGTCTTAAAGTGGCCAAGTTTGAGAAACACTGATGTAGGGATTTGTGGTTAAGTCCACCCCCTTCACCCTAAGTCCCCCATCTGGAAGTCAGAAACAACACTGGCCTTTCTTTTGTGGGGGCGCATAGTATTAAAACCCGCTGTGGGAGCCCAGGTCATTCTTCACGCCAACGCACTGCTAAGCTCATGAAACATCGAAGTGACAAAGTAGAGGACTTTTCCCCCCTCCTGCCTCTGTTCGACTGTCCAGTTTATCTTCCCACCCCCAGTTTTTCTGCTCCCTTGAGAATCATCTTCCCCCCAAGAAACTCTCCAAAGACACCCGCCCAGAAACCAGTCCTAAGGGAAACTAAGAACTTCTCTTCTTTTTCTCCTGCGGAACATGAAATCTTTTTCTCTCTCGTTCTCGCTATCGTGGGCCGGATTTGGCCCCGTAGCTGATCCCACAGGAATGATTTCCACCAACACACAGGCCAGCAAATGAAAATGAAAGGGAAAAAAAAAACCAAGATAAGAAAAGAATGAGTTGAGAGAGGTTAAAATCAATTCCATTAAAACCAACATTGTATTACGCGTCAGGTCAAATGGCAGAAGAGTTTCATACGTGATTGACCTGTCCTACAAAACGCAACAGAGAGTCGTTGTTGGGAGGGGGAAGAGAAACAAACCTAGAATCTCCCGAAGTTCCTCCACCCTCTCATTTGACCCGAGACCCATCCATGAACAAAAGGGACCGATTCAAAGTCTCCAGTGCATAAGTCCACCAAGACTTAGTTCACCAAGAGCGTCATTCAGATTTATCTCCTGCAAAGCTGGAGAGACAATTAAATCCTTAGCTAGGTCAGTGGGGCAAGGATGCCTTTTAAGCCAGCAAAAGATACATCAGGGATTTCTCTGGCATTGCCGCCTGGGAAATCTGACAGGTTTCAGACAGCTTCTGAATCTCCAAGATCAGAACCAACAAAGGAAGGCAATGTTGGTGGCACCCCCAATGTTCTTGCTAGGTTCTCTTCTGGTGAGGTTTCACAGCAAGGAGGAGGGCAGGAGAAGATGCAGATTTTAGGGACAAGAATTGTTGCAATGCTCCCTAATGTGCATCGTTATGTATTTTCCCCAATGCCCACAAATGAAGCTTTCTTTCAGTGCAAAAGGACCCTCTTTTGCCCCTTTCTATCAGGTCTGGTTCACACTCTTCAGCGTAAGCGACCAGCCCTCTTGGTTCATTGCTCTTGACACAACACACCCTATTATTGTCATGTGCAAGGAGCATCATCAGCAAAGTGGGAAGTCAGGAGGCCCCACCCACCAGATGGGAGGAGGAGCTAAACCTCTGAAAGGCCACTGGGGAGAAAGAAGGTGGTTGAGATGCAGGGTTCCCCGGCTTTCCAAACCGGGAGTGAATTAATGAAAGGAACCCCCAGCAGACGGACCACGGGTTTTCCTGGTTGACCCGAATTTGAACACTTTCAGGCTCTGAAATATTTCCTTCACATAACATTTCTGCCAAAGCCTGCAACTGTGCAGGGAGACTTGCTGAAAAAGGATAATGCAGATGGCCAAGCTTTGGATCTGCAACTCCAATCCCTGTATGCCCCAGAGCAACAGTTAGGTTTCACAGCTATTGCTAGGACCTGAACATCTGTAAGTAGGCATAGTGTCACCTCTTCCTCCTCCTCCATGTTCTGGCTACATCTCCCATTCTCCTCCACCCCTCAGTTTGCTTTTGACGCAATCCATGCATCTTTGTTGAACCTCAACCCTTTGGTGCCAGATTGCACTCCAAGACAACAGGCCATCAAGTTTATCTCTGCAGAGTTTTGGGGTGGGCCAATTTTCTAGAAACCAAAGATCTTAAACATTCTTTTTCAGCCAGGTTCACCCCTTTCTTTTCAATAAGGTTAGCATAAAGACAAAATCAAGAGGAACCACGTAAAATCAAAGAAGACATAGACACTAGTTTGGGGGTAAGGGTAGGGGAACTAGCTAGCATAAAGTTAGGGCTACATTTTTGAGATGCAGAGAAAAACACAGCCATGAGGTATATATTTTTTTTTACAGTCCACAAGTTTCAAGCCATGGTTTATCAGGATTGAAAAGGACAAAGGTGTAAGGAGGAATTCTACTCACTCACTCTCATCTACCCCATGCCCCAAAGCACTGATTTCCATCTCGTGAGTCAAAAGCCTTGACCTTCTTCCCCCAAAAGGCGACCTTCAGTTTCTACTGAGACTTAAGTTGTGAAATGGTTTGGCATTGGGTTCATTCCTTGTTTTTGTTTTTTTTTAAAAAAAACAACACAACACAACACAATGCCAGAACAGTGAAAGAGGGAAACGAAAGGAAGATAACTCGAAGTTGACTCACAAACGGATACGAAAAGCAAAGAGACAGAAGTTACTGAGGCCGGTCACCAATCAGGATGGCAAAGGGGTGTGCGAGGAAGTGTCCCAGGACGACAACAAAGCCCCCGAATGCATGGAACCAAGCAAGTGCCAATCACTTGCTCATTCTCGGAAATAAATGTTCAGTCAGAAGAGTGAACGCTCGCGTGGGTCTGTAGGCATTCTTCTCTTCGCTGCTCAATCCCAGCCGTTATCTTTGATCATGTGAGCTAATTCAATGATGTATTTGCCTTCTTTATATTTCTGACTGCTCTCGAATGCGTGTTCCTTTTAAACAAAAGAAAAGGCATTAACAAATCTGGGTGCACACGGAATGGAAAACTCTTGCTTGGAAAGAGTTATGTTCAGGCTTCCCCAAAACATTCCCACAGTGGTGCATCTATAGCAGGTTAAAACTAATATCAGAACAAACCAAGTGGCTAACAAGGATGGGGAATTATTCTTATTATTTGGAAGTTTTTTCTAACATTCATCCAGAATTTGCTATCTTTTAACTAAGACAACAGTTCTATGTTCATTTTTCTTCTCAATGCACGGATCTGGCCAGTTTACACATCTCTAGTTTCCACTTCCTGATTCTCTTCATTGCCTGAAATCTGTTTGGATCTTTTTTTTAACCAGGATATTAAAACATATTTTGGATGAATGCCACGATGGAGAAGCTGATGTTTCTGCCAAGAGTTGACAAAAGCATGATTAGGACTTTAGATGGACATACTTGTTCAAGAGAAGGCATTCTTTCAGATAAGTCTGTGCTGAATTGAATCATCCCATGAAACTATAACTAGATTTCTGCCAGAAACACCAAACAGGAGCCATAATTCATTCCAGATTTAACTAAACTGTGCACAGGGCTGCTCATATGTCTTCAGCCCAAGATCAACAGGATGATGAGTTAATTCCTGAAGGGTCTTGATGTTGATAGTGCAGAAAGCATTCTTCTTATACAGTTAACCAGTGTTTCTCAACCGTAGCAACGTAAAGATGTGTGGACTTCAGCTCCCAGAATTCCTTAGCCAGCTTACTGGCTGGGGAATTCTGGGAGTTGAAGTCCACACATCATCAAGTGGCCAAGGTTGAGAAACACTGCAGTATATGCTTCATCAAGTATTAAGATCTGCTCAAGGAACTTTCTGCTACATCCCACCCCTGAGATCAGTAATATTAAGGATACAAAAGAGGGTCTTCTTGGCCATGACAGCTATGAGATTTTGGAATGCCTAGAGCAGAATATTGCTAGTATTGGCTTAATTTTAGTGGAAAGTGAAAACCCAGTGATGTGCCTAAGTATTTTGGTCTTACTGTCACTTGATCTAATACAGTGTTTTTCAAACTTGGCCACTTTGAGATGGGGGGACTTCAACTCCCAGAATTCCTCAGCCAGCATGCTGGCTAGGGAATTCTGGGAGTGGAAGTCCACCCACCTTCAAGTGGCCAAGTTTGAAAAACACTGATCTAAATACCTCCCTCTCCAATCCTCAAAAGCCTCGGCAGGGACAGTCCAGGGGGACCATGACACAAGGGTCTCACCGTTAACTCTGCCCCTTTTGTGTGTGTGTTGCGACATCACACACACACAGAAGGGGAAGCACTTCCATCATGACACTCATTTTGTTGTTGTAGTGAAGGTGTCTGATCCCGCCATCCCCTCCGTCTGGGAGTTGAAGTCCAGCCCATCTGGAAGGTTTTCAAATGGGGAAAGGCTGGTCTACTGCTTTTGCTTCGATCTAGGCAGCTTTTTATCCTGTTCTGCTCTTATTCTTTATTGATGGCACCTTGCCCTGAGATGTATTGATCTAAGGCATATTATAAATATTTGAATTAAATAATGAATATTGCAGCGAAAGAAAGTAGAGTGCCTTTTTAACCATTGGTTTTTATTTTAGGGGATCCAAAGAGAAGGATGGATCCAAAGAAAAGGATGGATCAATCCTTAGCATGACAGAACTGCTGTTTGTCATACTCTGCCCGCCCACCCCCAAAGTCTCATTGGATCCAGTTACGGCTATAGATGGAATCATGTTCTCTGTGACCTGGAGAGGTCCTCTTGGACTTCCCACTGGAACAGGAGGCTGTGGCCAAGGGCACCTTCACCCATCTTTGGTTCGTGCACCAGTTATAATCCCACCTGGAGCAGGACACCCTGGTGTCAATGACCAACATTACCTTGCAATGGACTACTGCAACATGTTCAACATGGGGCTGCCTTTGAAGACAGCTCAGAAGCCAAGGCTGGTACAGAATGCAATGGCCCCCTGTAGATCCTGTTATTGAAGAATGACACCAATTCTACTGTGGCTACACTGGTTGCCAGTAAGCTTCTGGGACTGATTACTGCTGGACTGTAATGTGTTCTGGTGCCACACCATGTAGTGCTTTATGGGTAACATCCATGTAATGGTATGTGGAATGATCTTGGGAGACAGGAGGAAGAGCCGCAGACTAGGCAATGGTCAGATAGGAGGCAGCTGAGTCTGAAAAAGGCAAATGTCTCAGAAGAGAGAGAGGTACTTTCAGATTTGCAAGATTCTGTTAATGTAACCTTACAATAAAGATAGAGCTAGTACTGCTGGGTGTGCTTCTTGTCTGGACTACCTCGTAAGGCTGACATCAATCTTGCAAGTCTACATCTCTCCCCTTTGTCTTTACAGTCCAAGAAACTAGAGAGGGTCCCTTCTGAGGCATTTGCCTCACCCCCATTCCTCCTCCGGGCTCAGCTGCCTCTTATCCAAGTAGGGACCACCTTATCCAAAATGAGCCTGCCAATCCTGTAAGTCCTCCAGAAAAGGCCTGCCCTCCCCATGAAGAGAGGGAGCGCTGGTCTGGAAGAGGCCTTCTTGTTTGTGGCCCCAACCACACATGGCTCCTTGTTTGGCTTTCAGAAAGTTTCTTCAAACCTTCCTTTTTAAATGGACCTTGGATGACCTGGAAGCCTAGTTGGGAAAGACAATGGATGACTTTTCAGTGATTTTGAGGGCTTATTTTTATGTGATTGTCTGTATTCTGAGATTCTGGAATGCTGCCCAGAGTCAGGAAGCTGGGGTGGTACAGAAATTGTGTCACAAGAAGAACAAGGAGGAGGAAGAGAAGGGACGTAGATGTTTGCCTGATACCAGCTTAGACCCAAAGGTCCCCCGGTCTTTCTTAGAAATGCTGTGGAATAAATCTAGGATAGGATCTTTAGAAACCAAAGCATATTTCAGCCACGAAGCTCTGATCCTCCTCTGCTCCAACCAAGGTACCACAGCTATAGCTTGCTAGAGATCCCAGAGCAATAAGGAGCTTATATTGCAAAACACTTTGCTTGGTGTGAAGAGCCACAGAAGGGAACGATGAGAATGACATCTTTTTTTAACAAACATCACAGGTCTGAAATGTGCACCGAGCCACCAGGCCTTTTGAAAGAGTCTGTGTTGCGGGAACCCAGAAGGAAGCTTATAAGCTTGCTTTTAAAATGCCCAGTTGCATGTTAGAAATATAACCTAATTGTTGAAAAGACTTAGGGTGGGGTTGGGATTTCTCCCTGCCTGATCTGAAGATCCACATTTCCTTTTGCAACAGGATCCTTATTTATTCAGTGAATTACAGTGCCGCTGATTCCTACTGGAATCCCAGGGGCTCACAACGCAACACCCAACACAATAAATAAACATCCGTTCTCTCCCCTGGGTTGTGTCATGTTGCTCTCAGCAAGCCCTCGGCTGGCAAATATTCTTGCGCTCCTGTGTGACCGACTCTCTGCTGCTTGTTTTTAGTATCATCTAAACTGTTTAATAGGATTGCATCGCTGGTGCAATTAATCTTATTCAGGCTGATGGCCTGCAGATGGTTCCGCAAGGACAGGAAGGCGCGAGGGTGCAGGGTGGAAACGTTCAAAGGAAATTAAAGGACCCCCAAGCCAACTCCCTGCAGGTTGAAAGCCAGGGCTCAGGGAAAAAGGCTCAGCGGTTGAAAACATTCCAAGAAGAAACCCGTTGGCGCTCACATATTTCCAACCCAGTGTGGTTTTGCAGTTTTCACAGTAAATGTCGGCCACCGCGTGAAGTCCCGTTAGCAGAATTCGTTCCTCCGCAGGACCGCAGCCCACATTGACTCTGCAGGGAAGAAGGGGATGGGAAGAGAGAAAGCAAGCTTAGGCTCCCAAACGAGAAGACATTCCCACGTCAGTTTCACTGAAGCAGCAAGTTACCATCTTTGTCACAGATTGTCAAGTATTACCCGCTATATTCCAAGGTGTGTATGGCAGAGATATTAAAAAATCAGTGTCAGATTTAGAGACACATTTTACAAACGTGGCAGAAAGCATACGTGTCTCCTGGAGCGCCATATTTAACGTGGAGATCTCTCACATGTGTACCCAGATGCCTTTCCTAGTAGCATACACACACCAGATAGTCCGGATACACTGTGGGTTGGCACCCCAGCACCCAGGACAACCAAGGGCATCTATGGAACTCCAGATGAAATGAAAATGAATTAAACATTTCAACAGTACAAAGATGGCTCGAGCGGTGGGTGATCTCACACCAAATCTTGCACAATTTCAGGCAATCCCACCACGTCTTGCAAGGTTTTTGCACAAGATTGCACAAGATCCAAGGGGGAGATAACAAAATCATGCAATATTTGTTTATCCCAGAAGATCGGGGTCATTTTAACACCCTATCCTTTTGGCAGAAGATTGCACACGTTGGGAAAAGTTGACAATCTTGGGTTGTGCTTTGTGTTAAATCAGAGTTTTACTTTCTAATTATTGCACACGTTTGTGTGGTAGGGTGGATAAAGGGTTGGATTGAGAGTGGGGAGACCCAGGAACTAGTCCCTCCTCATCCACAGAAGCTCATGGAGTGACTTTGGGCCAGTCAGCCCAACCTACCTCACAGGGTTGTTGTGGGAAAAATAGGAGAAGAAAGTGCTACCTCTTTGAGGAATGCTGGGGCATAAATCTAGCAAATAAATGAACGATACTCCAAAATAAGTGACATAGAGCTACATAAGATGGCAATCCGTAGGAAATCTTCAAGGTGTGCTCTGTTTTTAGGTACAGGTAGTCCTCGTTTAGCAACTGCCTTGTTTCGCGACCATTCTCAGCTATGACCATGATGAAAAAGCAACTTTGCAACCAATCCTCGCATTTATGACCTTCTTAGGTCTGTAAAGCAAAGGAAAGCTGAAGTCAGATCATAAGCACAGTTACGGTTCCACTTAGCAACCGCTTTGCTTAACGACCGGGTTGCCAGTCCCAATTGTGGTTGCTAAACGAGGACAACCTGTATAGGAAAGGCACATGGGAGTGGCTAATCTTTTTCCATTCCTAATGTCACGTCTTCATGTATCTTCATTAATAAGCCTGGGAGTGCATAGTCCTTGTAATGCGATGGAATTGTTCAAGTGCAATGAAAAACTAAATTCTGGGGGAAAGTGCTAAAGAATGTCCAGCACAGTTTCTCAACCTTAGCCATTTTAAGATGTGTGGACTTCAACTCCCAGAATTCCCCAGCCAGCGTGACTAGAATTCTGGGAGTTGAAGTCCACATGTCTTAAAGTTGCCAAGATTGAGAAACACCGCTGTAGGGCAGGGTTCCCAACCTCAGCCACTTTAAGATGGGTGGACTTCAACTCCCAGAATTCCCCAGCCAGCGTGACTAGAATTCTGGGAGTTGAAGTCCACATGTCTTAAAGTTGCCAAGATTGAGAAACACCGCTGTAGGGCAGGGTTCCCAACCTCAGCCACTTTAAGATGGGTGGACTTCAACTCCCAGAATTCCCCAGCCAGCGTGACTAGAATTCTGGGAGTTGAAGTCCACATGTCTTAAAGTTGCCAAGATTGAGAAACACCGCTGTAGGGCAGGGTTCCCAACCTCAGCCACTTTAAGATGGGTGGACTTCAACTCCCAGAATTCCCCAGCCAGCGTGACTAGAATTCTGGGAGTTGAAGTCCACCCATCTTAAAGTGACTGAGGTTGAGGAACTCTGCTGTAGGGTAACTCACCAAGATTTCCACCGTACAGAAAAACAGTGTTTCTGTACCCTGTATAGGTCCCTGGCCTTCATTCAAACCATGGAGAACTGCACAGTCTTTCCAAATAGGAAGACTTAACCCCCCCTGCAAAAAACCCCCCATGAGGAGTTATGTCTCTTCAAACCCAACTTTCAGCTAACTGGGGTTTCTTCTTCCATCATCAAGGCTCAAAGAGAAAGACAGCTGTTCCTTACTGCTTTCAATCATAAAATCATTTCCTCTCAGCCTGGAGGTTTTATTTTAGTCATCTTGGCTCTGGCTACAGGTAGACTTAAAAAGAGGACAAGGTTAACATTCTTGCAGGTAGCAGCCCTCTCTGTCGGCTCACCCTGTCACAAGATCGTGCAGCAGTCATCGAAACACCACTGTGAGATGCTTTAGGAAGACCAACAACAACACTTTAACAAAAAAAAAACCACAGAACACTCACACTGAATTGAAGAGATAGGCTCGCCCTTGGCTTCCTTGGAAAGACTGCAAGGCAAGCAAAAATACGATAAAATAAAAAAAGTCGATTAAGGTCGGTTGGTAGTATAGAAAGCCACCCTGCCAGTTAAAAAAAAAAAAGTCCCTTATTGCTGGACGCTCTTTAGCAATTTTTAAAGTTTTTTTCTTCTCCCCTGCATGTGTGCTCTTATCGCACCCATCTGCACCCTCCTCCTTAACTCGAGAGAGATTTTTTTGCAAAAAAAAAGGTTCTCTGCCAAGGGAGAAAAGATGTCAATAGCTGATGGAACGAGTTCATGTCTGACTTGAGCATTTATGGAAAAAGTTGACCGGTATTCAACAAGAATGTCAAGTTGGGAGGAGAAATCAGAGCCGAGACAGACGAGGCAGGAAAAAGCGAAGGGGGGAAAAGACATCTCAAATTCACACTTTAAAAGAGGACATTTATACTCAGCGGCGCTTCTAAAAAACAAAAAGAAAGAAAGAAAAAAATGGGCACGTAATATTTCCAAACTATGAACCAAAACCTTAATTTATGAAACATTTTTATGCCGCCTGATTCCAGGGTTCATTTTATACCCTGTTGGTTGGAAAGAGAGCAAGGCACTGACAAATTCTGATTTTTTTTTTTAAATCAATCTCATTTCCAGGTAGCTGTCATCTGTCTTTAAACTTGTCAGCTGCCAAATATTTTTGAGCTCCGGCCAACCAATCAAGCCCCACGGTCCTGGGCATGGCCCACCTCCCCCACAGGGTTCCGCCTCCATTTAAAGGGAAACGTCCTGTTTTTGCACTGAGTTTTTAGCTGCTGGAAAAAAGAGGCATTTGGTTTGCATTAAAGCTGCGGCCAGAACAAGCTCCAGGCCATGCAAAGGTTTTGAAAGGCCACATTTTCATCATGAAGGAGTTTAAGGTCAGCCCGATGATGGAAAACAAGAAAGTCTGTCCTAAGCATTTGCTCAAAGAAATAGGAGAGAGCTGTTTCTTAAGTTTCCCATCGAAACAGCCCAGGCTATTTCCTTTGCTGTCTGCTGGAAAGCAGGCATCTCAACAAAAGGATTGTTTTCTTCAGTGTCTAGACCAGTGCTTCTAAAACTTGGCAACTTTAAGATGGCGGGACCAACTCCCAGAATCCCCCACCCAGCATGCTTTAAGATGGGTGGACTTCCACTCCAAGAATCCTCCACCCAGCATGCTTTAAGATGGGTGGACTTCAACTCCCAGAATTCCCCAGCCTGCATGGGGAATTCCTGTACCATTATTTATTTACTTAATTGTATCTGCAGGGCTGCTCCAATGGAAACCTATGACTCTAGGAGGTGTACAACAGAGCAAAACCTCAAGAAATATAAATAATAAATAGCCAAACGAAGAGACAACAAAAACAGGGATGCACAGAGGAAGCCCTGAGTGCACCAATCGTCCGGAGTCAAAAGTTTTCACCATTTTCTTGAGTGCAAGAACAGAAAATACCTTCTGAGCAATAAGGAACACATTCCAAACATGGGGGACCACCACGGAGAAGGAAATCTGCCTCATCCATGTCCCACAAGAACCTCACAAGAAGAAGGGTTCATCAGCAGACCTTCTTGAGATGTCTGAACAAGGCAGGTGGAGTTAACTGTGGCAAGGGAGCGCCTGATGTAACTTGTTGTTTCACCTCACAGGGCTTTACAAGCAGTAATTGAGTCCAGAAACAAATGGGAAGGAGGTGCAACAGGCGCTCCAAACAGTGGACACCGTTCTCCAAATAGCATGCGCTGTTCTCCAGCTAGTGCGTGCCATTCTCGCGATGCTTTGGAAAACCTCTGGAAAGCTTCTGAGGCCTTCTGAAGCATCGCGAGAACAGCGTGCACTATTTGGAGAACGGCACCAGCGGCCTTGGGAAGGAGGCGTGGCACAGCCAGCAGCTGCCACACAGAGGGCCAGGCTGGCACGCTTCGTGAGCAGCAGGAGGAAGATGGCAAAGGCCAGCTGGGTGCGACAGGGCCTGTGGAGTGCAGGGCAGCGGGGGCTTTGCACTGTGGCAGCTGGCCACGGGGCAGGGCTTGAGGCAGCACTCCTCGTTGGCCGCAGCACTGAGGCTGAAGTAGAGGCCTGGGGGCGGTGGCGGCCAGCTGAGGCCTCGGTGCTGCCACTGCTGCCAAGGAGTGCTGCTGTGCAAGGTGGCCAAAAGGGCAGAAAAGGTGGGGGGAGATAGGCGGGGGGGGAATTGAAGCACCCCTGCAGTCATGCAGACAGGCTGCCAAGTACCCAAATTCTGATCGCGTGACTGTGGGGGCACTGCAACGGTCATAACTTCGGGGACTAGGCATAAGTACCATTTGTTCAGCCCTACTGTGAGTTCAAACGGTCGCTGAAAAAATGGTCGTTAAGCAAGGACTACCTGATATATTCCTCATTATCTCTGATAACCTACCCTAAAATGTGTCCAAGATGTTCATCCACTGAGTTTTCAAAGATGGGTGTTCACCTGACTGAAATTCTCAAGAAGGAATTACTGATAAGCCAGCCAAGGAATGCTATGGTGACACAGACACATCCTAGATGAGATGTGGACGCATCAGGAGCTCCCAACATGGCGTAGATCGTGATAACCACACAATTAAACTGTCAGCATCGCCTACTTCTTAGCCTTCAAATCTATGTCAGCAGGATCACAACAAAAAAGCAGAGGCAGCTTCGACGCCAACCGTCACTTATTGCTAGAGACCCAGCAAAAGAAAAAAAATGCAGCAGATTCAAAAATATGTCAGAGGCCAGGAGAAACTTCCTCAATTATCTGGCAGTTCACTTGCTTACATGACTCCAGAGTTAAGGGCAGGTGAAAGGAATCTTGTTTTTTATGTTTCCAAAGAGAGAAAGAGAAACCCCCCCACTAAAATAGCATCGCGTCAGTGGGTTTTTCAAAAGAAAAAATAAAACATTACACACAAGAGTTGCATGCTCCTATGCTCTGTTCTTCTCTTCCCTTGAAAGCTGTGACTTAAGAGTCAGGGAAATAGCAAATGGCATTAACTACTACAGACTTAAGTTCATTACTCATGGGAAAAAAGCATGGGGCAGGGTGTTAACCTGCTGGTCCAGACAAAAAGTTCATCTAGCCCAGCTTCCTGCTTCCAAAAAGGAGCAACCAGATACCTCTTTGCACAAGAACATAAGGACAACAGTAACCTTCAATTGTTGCTACTGAATGGGGAGTTTAAAAACAATCACCATAATTAGTAACTACTGACAGATTTTCCCTCCACCAATCTGTGAATTATTTGGTAACCCTATCCTACATGGCATATATAGATTTACAAGCCTACACATATACGCGCCCACACACATCTCACTTTAGCCCTGAAAAGTATTAGCTTATCCTAAGTGAATCCTCTCCACACAAATCTGCAATGGTGAATTAGATCTTTTACACGCTTGTGACAAGGCTTGCAGAAATAAAATACTTTGAGGTTAACAAGCTAATTCTTTTATAGAAATAGATTTTACACAATAAATTTACTCTCCGTCTTTCACTAGAAGACAGCCTTATGAGAATGCTACTTTAGAAATCTTACAAAAAGGAGGGAACTGCTATTCATTCTGTTGAGACAGGCAACACAAACAAAAAAAGAGTTATATCATGCAACTCTGACATGGGGGAAAATTGTACACAAATAAACTGTTGTGTTGAGAATTTGCAATAGAACAGCCATGATTCATAGGTTTGGCTACTGTATTGGATAATACATCCTACAGGTAGTCCTCAGGTTACGACAGCAAGTGGGACCAGAATTGCTGTTGCTAAGCAATGCGGTTGTAAAGTGTGACATCACATAACTGTGTTGCCTAGTGACAGCAATTCTGGCAGTCCTAGTTGCCATCGTTAAGCGAGGACCTCATGTGACTGTGACCTCCGACCCATTGACTTGCTTGTGGGAATCTGGCAGGGAACGTCAGAAATCGCAAGCACTAACTGCGGGGACACTGCAACAGCTGCAACTTCAAAAACCCATCACGTCCCCCTCATTCATAACCTAAGGAGCACCTGTATATATAAAGATTCAAATCAAAGGGAACAGGGAAAATATCTATAAAGTAAGCAGCAGATTGATCAAGTGAGTCTCATCAAATCAGTTCCTCTAATAGCAGATGGAGCAAATACCATAGCTATTTGTGGCCATTAATGTAATGTACAAGATGCAGGGTTTCCACCATGCTGGTACTGGAAAATCTGTGCTGGCTATTAACTGCCTACTGGAGAAAATGCAGGTAGTCCTCGCTTAACGACCATTTGTTCAGTGACCATTCAAATTTACGACAGTGCAAAACGAAGGGACTTACAACCCGTGCCCGAAGTTATGGCCGTTGCAGCATCTCCATGGTCATGTGATCGCGATCTGGGCCCTTGGCAATCGGTTCATGCTTACAAGTGGTTGCCAAGTGTCCCACGATCATGTGAACGCCATTTTCAATCTTCCCTGTTGGCTTCCCCAGAAAATCAATGGGGAAGCTGGCAGGGAAGGTCAGAAGCCTCTGCCGCCTGCTGAGGGGACTCCCTCCCATCTCTGGGGGCCTGCAGGATTTTGGCACGGAGCTTTTTCAGCCAGCCCCCAGAGATCTGCACAAAGCTTTTTCAGCCAGCCCGTCATCTCTGGGGCTGTCTGAAAATGCCACATGCCAAAATCCAAGCAGGATTTTCAGCCATGGAGGATTTTCAGCTCTGAGTCTGAAAATCCAAGTGGTTCTGAGGCCTTCGCACACTCATCCCACACTGCCTCCCCGCACACCCTCCCCGATCCTCCCATGCACTCCCTCCCGCATCCAGCAGCACCTGGGACTTGCAACTTCCTGCCAGCTTCCCACTGACTTGATTGTAAGAAGCCGGCAGGAACTTGCGTCACCTAATGACCCGCAATCCTCGTGTAACGATGGCAGCCATGATGTGGTCGCTAAGTGAAGTGGCCACATGATGATTCATTTAACAACCGCATTGCTTAGCAACCTAAATTACAATCCCAATTGTGGTCATTAAGCAAGGACTACCCATATCCAGTAACTTAGTAAAACATGAGCTTAATCCAGGAAAACAGGAAAGGTTGAGAAAGAAACTCAAGATTGCCCCACCTTGACTCCCTTTGGTATCAGAGGGAGGGAAGGGGAAACGCTGTCAAGCTTTCAAGCTTCTGCTATCATTTATTTTATTTATCTATTTATTAATCCAATTTATATAGCTGCCCATCTCACAGAAAAGCAACTCTGGGCGGCTTACAACAATCCGGTAAAACAACATCCACAGAAACTATCAATATAAAGATATCAAAATCAATATTAAAAGATAAATATGATAAAAAAGAAATATACAAACCCTAGGCAAGAGAGAATAAGGATAGGTAACTCAACAAGGGAGCCATCTAAGCATGTCTCCGGTTCCCTCCGAGCCCCAGGCCTGGTGACCTAACCAGGTCTTGAGGGACTTCGGGAAGGTCAAAAGGGATGGAGCTAATCTAATATCGGGGGGAAGAATGTTCCACAAGGCGGGCGCCACAGCAGAGAACGCCTGGGACCCACCAAATGTATGCCCCTAGATGACAGGACCCTCAATGTGCCTTGTCTGCTAGATCTGATGGGGTGGGCTGATGTAGTCGGGGAGGTGTGGTCCCTCAGATAGGCTGTAGCCCTTCATGGCAGGGGACTGGGCTATTATCAACAGAGTTCTCGCATTTCTTGTGGTGCCTCTTTTCTGATCTGTCCTACCTTGAAGGGTTGACAGTTGATGTTGGATTTTTAAGGTCCTAAACAGTTTAGCGCCTGACTCTCTGCAGGATGTGCCACGGACCTGCCCAAAGAGGCTCTTCTGAAGATGTGCCAGCTGCCAGACGTTTGACTATCAGGTAAAAGGGACTTCTTCTGCATGGCATGGACTCTTCCACTCTCTGCTTCAAACTCAACCGTTCCCTTGCCCCGAGCTTGACTGCCCTTTCGACCGTCCGTTGCTCAACACAAATTTCAACCTCTCACCAACTTCCCTCTGTGCCACCACAGCTGTCATCTCTAGAAGACTTGCAGCAGCCTTGAATAGGAAAATGAAACGAAACTCAAATGGTTTGGGGGACTGTTTGCATGGCTCAGACATGGATGTATTTATGTTTTGCATGGATACTCTGATTTTCCACCAAAAACAGTACTCATGACAGCCAGCGATTATAAAATATCCATAGGAATATCTAACCTTTATATAATTATGGACTGCTGAAAGTTCTGGCAATTTTTACGGCTAGGCTGGTCTAACCTCAAGAGCTGGAAATATATATTTTTATCTTCTTCTAGCAAAATATTTGGGCTCCTTTCTCTTTCCTCCTCCCCATATTTATTTATATTTATTTATTTATATTTCAAATTTGTCACCACCCATCTCATTGTGGAGTGACTCTGGGCGGTTTACAGTAAAATTAGAATAAGCATTAATTAAAATAGATAAATATTAATTAAAATATGCTAAAAACAAACTTCCTTTATGATACTTCCAAGAGGCTGATGTTATATTATTATTGTCCCTGTCTTGGTTGCTTTGTTAAGGACTAGAAACTTGTTTGTTTTTTGAACAAAGCAACAATACTGTAAGATGAGATTTTCACGATGAATCAAGATTTTGCTTCCCTCTCTTTTTGCATTCTTACAACAATCCCGGTTTAGCAATCCAACTCAGCTATGTAAATGCTGGAGTCTGTAGCAATCAAACGGATGTTAACGGGAACCCAGTTGCACCCAAATTTGCCTGTTGCAATTTTACAGTGGTTTTTTTTCCCCAATGGAAGGAGCTTCTCCCCGAGAACCATCAGATTGGGCTGCAAAACCCTGAATAACCAGCAGATGGCAGCAAGAAGGTTTCGTCCTGCCACCTAGTGGGTGTCTGGAGTTTTGCAGCCCAGAGCTAGCAGCCCTGTTTTCCAGGCCCCACTGCAACTATTTGCCCTGTCCGTGCACTTTAATTGAGATTGGCCGTTGGAAGAAAAGAAAAGGGAAGATGTAGGCGGCCAGTAAAGCATTCTTGACATACCTCCATAATCAAGCACTGTGCATTGCTTATTTCTTCTACGGGAAAAAATGCAGAATCAAAATACAAAAAGCAGATTATTCGGCTGGAACTGTGTACATCTGGGAGCATGCACAGATCTTAATTAAAAACTCCAGTTCCAGAAGCAAATGCAGTATTTAGCCTTCAAGTGTAATCATGGTGGCTAGGTTTGCATAACATGCTTAATTTTGACCTGCGCAGGTTCTGAGGGTTGTCTGAACATCAACACCCAGAGAGCATGTTCCAAACCCCAGTCCTCCAAGAAACTGAGTTGGAGATACAGAGTGGATGCTGAAAGAAGCCTGCCTGTTATAGAGGACTGGCAGCCCTGAACATACCTCTCAAACCCTGATTGGCTGCAGAGCCCAAATCCCACCTTCTCTTGCCTGCCTGGCCAATGGGAAAGGAGCCAGTGATGTAATGAAGCCTTGCCAGTTCTCTCCTGCGGCAAGGGCTCATGGGATGCTAGTTGGACTGGAAAAATGGGCAGACTCAGTTTTTACTAAACTGGCAACTCTTGACCCAGTTTGTGTGCTTGTGTAGTGCCAGAAACACCACTAAGGAGTTTTGACTGGGTTAAGGACCGATCTGATTAAGTCTGTTGGATAAATACACCCTGTCTGTGCCTCTGGGCGTACTAAGAGTTCCTTCCTGTACCACTGAGCTGCTATTTATTTATTTATTAGATTTTTATCCCGCTTTTATTATTTTTTTTATAAATAACTCAAGGCAGTGAACATACATAATACTCCTTCCTCCTCCTATTTTCCCCACAACAGCAGCAGCTGCTATTGCTAAACTTCGCATGGATCGCTGCTTTGCTTTGCTGATGCCAGGAAGGTGGGGCATCCTCGTTTAAACCTAGCTCCCGTTTAGGCACTCAGAAAATACCGATCTACAGAGAGCACCGCAGCACTCCAAAAGGGGATTTAGGGAGTGGTTCAGCTGCTCAGCCAGAGCCTCGCTGAAGATGTTCCAAGTTCCTAGTCCTCATTATATATAGCTCAATGGTGTAGATAAAAGGCCTTCGGTAAGGGGGGTGGGGGTTTCACTGAGTAGAACTCTTTGCATGCTGCCCATCAGCTTGATATAATGGAGGAGGAGGAGGAGGAGGAGGAGGAGGAGGTGATAGTCTGACCTAAGGAGCTCCAATTTGGTGTAGCGGTGAAGGTGCTGGACTAGAAACCAGAGTTCTCCTGGTTTCTTTGGTTGGGTGACTTTAGGCCAGTCCCTCCCTCTCAGCACAACCCACCTCACAAGGTTGTTGTTGGGGGGACAACAGGAGGTGGGAGCAGTACAAAATAAAGGCAGGATAGAAATCAAATATATAAATGTAAATAATTTATAGCTGGGGACATCCAAAATCCAAGCCCAGTTATTCCAGCCTTATAAATGCTTGAAAGAAATAAACTAAACACCCCAGTAATTTCCAAAGCTCTATCACCCGGCGCTCGCAGGGTAAAAATGCGGCAGTTTCGGCCCCCAGCCACACCCCCAGCACCCAGCGTCCCTCCAGGCGGATCCCACAAAACCGCCCTCTACCACTTTGCTTTCACTTAGACTCCTGAGGCCCCTTTTGGCCAGACAACAAAGCCACAATATGGATACTCTTACTGATCAAACTCGGTGCAATTGAAGCAAAATAAAGCAATAAAATAAAAATGTTCCCCCTTGCACCTGCCAGAAACAAGGGCACCCAATGAACCAGCAAAAATTAAAAAGGATGAAAGTTTCCAAACACTTACTTCCCGGAACAGATCTAGGGGAAAGCATAAAAGCATTGGGCAATCAATTTACATTCTTGAAATAGAAAGTGCTGATAAAGAAGCTAATTTTCTTTTGGACAACACGGATTGCCAAAACACACACACCAACCCTCCTATACAATAATCAATTTTTTCAAAGAAGACCCACGGAATCCAAGTTTTTAGAGAAGCAACCTAGGACAGCTGTTTACATCTTTGCAGAGTTGAGATAATCTCCTAAAAAGTTGGTTCTAGATTTCTTCTGCATAATTGTAAAATTGTTCCCTTGCCTCTTGAGGAAGGCAGCGATTCAGGCTAACCTACCTCCCAGGGTTGTTGTGAGGAAAAGAAAAAACAATAGAGATAAGGAGGCTGCCTTGAGTTCTACAGAGGAAAGGCAGGAAATGAGCATGTAATAAATAAAACTAGATGCGTTCCAGGTTCTACTGAACCCCAATTCCTAGTCTAACCAGCACAAGACTGGAGAATGCTGGGAGATATCAACATCAACATCCGGAAAGCTACATTCAGGTACTAGGACCCATGATTCCCACGCTTGGCAATTTTCAGACGGGTGGACTTCAGCTCCCAGAATTCCCCAGCCAGCATGGCTGTTGCTGAGAATTCTGGGAATTGAAATCCACACAGCTGGAAGTTGCCCAGGTTGGAAAAACTGCACCAGATTTTCCATAATTATAATTAGAGTTCAGTAACGGAAACAAGGACATGCGGAGGTCTGCAGGAAAGCAAGTTAGGCTGGCTTTTTGGCGGAGACCTGGAAACAAGATACAGTATATTAACTTTAAGCAGGGAGACCCCACCCCAACTCAGTACTCAGCCACTAAGGACAAAGGGCAGTCTTGGATTAATCCATGACAATCAAACCTGCCTTGCAGGGGTAGGCAAAAGTGTGTGTGTAAATCAGTTGAAACATGTTTTTCCTGGAGGAAAGGTAAGTGTAACATCTGTTAAAATTGGCTGCTGCATCGTCCTTGCTCAGTCGATCCACTTCCCCACCAATCCAGGAGCCCTCCCCGCTTGAGGGTGACATACCTTTGAAATTAGCTCATCGTGGTTGGCCAGGTGGGCCCTGCAATGAATGCAGCTGTACGTGCGGTGGCACGAAGGCAGGTAAGCTTGGAATGTCTTGGACCGGGTCATCTTCACCATTGGCACCACCGAATGCTGGGTGAACTCGGAGGTGGCCCACGAGGTCCTCCTACAAGACGGGTCACAGGGGAAACACTGGAGCACGCAGGTAAAGGCCGTGGTTTGGCAGGGGGCAGGTGTGGCGCAGGCTCCACACGCTGGCAACGGCTTCGGGGTAAGAGAACCGGGCCCAGGAGCCAATCGACCCACGCGAACCTGAGTCGACAAAAGGATAAAAAAAAGAAAGGAAAAGAAGGTGTTTTTCTAAACGTGTTTTTCCAAACAACAGTCAGCGCTCACATGAACTCTTCGGCATTCCTGTTCTGGGCAAGGCATCCCAGGCTCGTTGGGCCCAAGTGAGTTTTCCTTTCAGGGCCGCTATGGAAGTCCCACCAAGACTGAGAACAGCCTTCCCCCAACTGGATGCCCTCCCCAGGGGTCGATCAGCTCCCAGGATTCCCCAGTCAGTGTGGCCACCTTTGACACTTCTGGAAGCTGAAGCCCAGTGGCTGGAGCGTGCCCAGGTTGCAGCAAGGTGTTCAGCTTCGCTGTGGAGAGCCAGATCCAGCTTTCCTCTGTAGCCAAGTCTGGCCTCCCCCTGGGAGCACTGCCCATCGTGGAAGATGCGAGGCCGTGGGGTCCCCAGAGCACCCCCTGCCTGACCCAACAGCCAAAGAGAGCTTCTGGGCTGGTCCTTGTGCTCTTCCTGGAGGGCATCTCAAGGCTCAACCACACCCTCTACCCAGCGCCCAAGGGCCTGGGCTTATTCGGCGTCATCTTCAGCTCCTGCAAAGCACCCTGATTCTCCACCTGGCTGAAAACGACTCGGAGGGCCGCCAAAATGGATTCGATACCCCTGCACCGCGCCAATCCTTTTCCGGTCAGGATAGCCCTCTGGGGCAGTAAAGCTCCTGTTTTCCACTGCCCAGGATTACCAAAAGTTTCATTCCTAGCATTTCCAGATTTTTTTTAAAAAAAGAGCAACACACCTCTACTAGCTCAAGAGTCCAGAGAGCCGTTGGCTAGATTGACATGCTACGTTTCCCAAATGAACCAGGATTTTTTCACATGGTGAATCCAAGTGTGTGTCATCAACTCAAAGCTGCCACAAAGTCTGAATTTATAGTCCATGTTAGGTTAGAACCGTGTTTCTCAACCTTGGCAGCTTGAACCTTGTTAGAACAGTGTTTCTCAACCTTGGCAGCTTGAAGATGGTGGACTTCAACTCCCAGAATTCCCCAGCCAGCCATGGCTAGGTTAGAACCGTGTTTCTCAACCTTGGCAGCTTGAACCTTGTTAGAACAGTGTTTCTCAACCTTGGCAGCTTGAAGATGGTGGACTTCAACTCCCAGAATTCCCCAGCCAGCCATGGCTAGGTTAGAACCGTGTTTCTCAACCTTGGCAGCTTGAACCTTGTTAGAACAGTGTTTCTCAACCTTGGCAGCTTGAAGATGGTGGACTTCAACTCCCAGAATTCCCCAGCCAGCCATGGATAAGGAGG